AATCAAGTTCTGTATCTAGATTTGAATTATTACATATTAGATTATTTTCTAATATATTATCTGGCATTATATTTTTCAACTGTTCGGATACTAGTTCGTCAACTAAATTTGATTGATCAACTAAATGCAATTGTTCGACCAATTTTTCATCAATTAGCAAGTTTTTATCTATTACTCCACTCGTATTTAAAATATCTAAATGTGCAATATGATCATATTGAGTTATTTTAGACATATCTAAATTTTCTGCACTGCCAAATATACTAGTATCACAATTATTGGAAATTATTGGTACTGTATCTTGTAGAATTGGTATGCTGTCTGAAATCTTACAACCAGAAGTAGCAGGCATTATTTTACAAGAATTTGTATCCATTGATGACGACTGATTTTTAATACAACTCATATCTGGTGATGTCATAGGAATTATTTTAGATACTAGTTTCTGAAAACCTTTAATAAAATTTTGAGTTCCATTTTCTATGCTATTTAACCCATTTTGCATCTTCTCAAAATTTTGGGTATCTTGTTTTGGGTAAGTTCCCATAGCATTATTTTCTAATTTAACGAAGCTCTGTTCTGATGATTCTAGTTTTATAAACGCTTCATCTATATGTTCTAACTTAGAGTGTTCAAAGTTATTTTCGCCTTTACAAAAAGTTGGTCCTAGACCATTCCCAATTTTTATGAAATTGTCTTTATGAGATTCCGTTTTTTGATAATTTGATACTTTCGGTGAAGTGATATCAACTTTTTGGAATCCAAGAGTATCTGAAATTTGATTCTGAATCTCCGGATTCGAAATTAACAATTTTGACACATTGTTGGATTTATTATTTTCTGCATTATTTACAGGACTGGGATTTCTTCTCATCAGTGTTAAGGCTGATAATACTTCTGGACAAGTAGGATTTGTTACAGGTTCACATCTCCTGTCGTTTAGGAAGTCTGAAACACTAAGGTCTGAACTTTCTGAAAATCCACTAGACATTCGCTCTTCTATATTTTCTTTAGCATCTTCAGAATTTTCTGTTTTCTGAAGTTTTAGCGGAGGTTCTGAATTTTCATAAGTGCTACAAACAGGAGTTTCAACCTTTTTTAAAGCATCATTGTTGATTATATATAAACCAGGATTTAAACCCAGAACATCGCACAATGATTCTTCACCAATATCAATTAAATCTTTGTTGGATTCTTCATCATTATTTGCAACTGTCAACATAGTTCCAGCTTTTTCTCGTATTTTGCCCATTAATATTTTCAATTCGTCTAAGAAATTTCTTACATTATTCTCGGATTTTAATATTAATAAATCAAATAATGATTGTGCATTAAGTACTGGCTTTGCTGCTATTTTTATTATTTCAAGATTTTCGCACACCGAAATGGCTTCTCTCAATTTTATTTGTCGCCTTTCTGATTTTGCTTCCGGTGTAACGTATGCCCAAGGACCACGTTTCTTTCCTTTGCGTTTTAAAGGATCCTGGCCTCCATTTTGTTTTAATTCAGGTTCAGGTGTTGGAGGAGGTAATTGCTCAAGGCTTCCATGGTCAGGGTGCATTTCAAAATGCCTTGCCATTCGAGTACGTCCCAAATATATTTTATTACATGTAGGACATCTGAAGTGATCTGATATTTTTCTTTTCGGTACTTCTAATCCTGTTAGCAATTCTTTTGGTGATTCTTCTTCTTCAAGCTTTTCATTATTCGTATTATAATCACTGTAACCACCATCCGAGTCATCTAAATCAGGTTGTAAAAAGTCTAAATGATGTAAATGTTTGTAATCTCGCACCATATGTCTAGGTGGTCGAGACAATCTACCAGACCGTGTTCTCGCAACAACCTTTTTCCTTTCATCCTAAACAAGATATGACAACATTAGTGTAAGTGACTTATAGTTTAGTAAAGTAGATCTACCTTTAATTCTTCTTGTTCTTCTTCAGGAATTTGTGGTGGTTTAGGAGGAAGCAAAGAAGGTCTAATAGTACTCTTTTTTGGTCGACCTCTTTTCCCACCACGATTTTTTAGTAAATTTCCTGGGTTCCGAATTCGTAAATCAAGTTCTTCAGGGAATACAACCCTAAATTCATACACGAATTATTTAGTTGTAGTATTTAATAAAAAAAACGAATTGTATACTCACCTATATACAACTCTTTCATTTGAAGCAGTTGTTTCTTGACTACGCTGTTGCAAAACATGTGCAATTTGTTTCAATTGTGTTGGTGTCAACCTTTGCATACTAAAATAAATACAAATATCATATAACATGAAAGAGGTATTAAAAATATATATAGATATATCTTATTTTACCTGTGAAATGTTTGACCTTGTTGAACTATTTGTATTGGATTTTCACTAGAACCCAATGGTTTAGTTACATCTGTAGAGTCACTTACTACTGTCACAGGTTTAGTGGGAGTACTTTTAGCTTTTTTATTTACTTTTAAATTTGTTCCATTTACTACCAAATTAATTTTCTGTTTAACAGCATCATTTTGTATTGATTTAGTAGACTCGAATGTACCACTTTGTTGTGTTACGGGTGCTTTTTGTAATGCATGTTGTAAATTATTAGAAATATTTGCAATATTTTGAGTAGAAATATTTAAATTTTGTTTAGTTGAATTATTAAACGCAATTTTTGCTTGCGGTTTCAAAATAGATACAGGTGTTGAAGAAATTTGGGTTGGTTTTAAAATAGATGTGGAACTTGTTGTTGTTGCCTTTAAATCTTGAGATCTTACAATAGATGCAGTTCTAAGAACTACTGGTGAATTAGAATTAATTGTAGTTTTTGGTACTCCACTTGATACTGTTGTTTTCTTACCAATTGCAGATTTTGTTTTAAGCAATTGCGAGGGAATTTGAACTGATTTTAATAGTTGTGCTGGAATAGATGCTGCCACATTTGTATTGCTTATAATTTGATTAGACTTTGAAAGTACAGTTGATGCACCTTTTAGCACCGGAGTTAAATATTGTTGAACATTGCCTCTGTGAAGAGACTGTGAGGTTTTAATAATAGGTGACAAATGTATTTGTGAAGTAACAAGGTTCTGTGTTCCCACAGATGTAGTATTTACTATTGCATTAGAAATATGAGGTGCGGTAACCGATTGGCTCTGTATTTCACAAGCACCAGTTATAATCTGAGAGGTATTTAATAACTGTGCTGGTATCCCAGTAGTATTTAATAATTGAGCCGTTATAGGCGTAGCTTTTATTATTTGTGGTGATAAATTATTCAATATTGTAGCTTTCGATAATAGCATAGAATTAGTATTTGAAGCAGCACTGAGAGAATGTACTGCATTAATTTGGTTCACTGTTGAATTAGTAAGTTTATTTGAACCTTGAAGTAGTCTAATATTTTTAGTTGGCTTTAATATAGTTTGTGCAGGTTTTATAATAAATTGTGATGATGGCAAAATTACAGGTAGTTTTTGTAATATTTGCGCCTGAGAATTAGGCAAAGTATTAAGCTGGTTTTGTACTACACTACCATCAATTGTATATTGCACATCATTTTCATGAATATTTTTAACATGGGAAACATCTGCTTTTATTGTGTGTACTTTAGATTGTTCTAAAACTATTGTTCGTGTGCCTGAATTCTGTTGAAGCAGATTATTTTGATGTTCGATTATTTGCTGAGATTCTTGTCTCTGATTACTTAAATTCACTTCATCTAACGACAAATCATTTTCACCTACTTGGTCTTGAAGCTGTTCATTTTCAGAAACTTTTTGTATCTGCCATTCTTGGAAATCAATACACTCTGTTTTAATCAATTCATCATTGGATTTTTGTACTTCTTCAGGATGGTAGCTTAACTGATCAATTGTTATAGAACCCTGAGAATGTAGCACTGTTTGGTCCTGCACGTTAATGTTATCATTTGTAGGAACATTTTCTTGTGTGTTTGAGCCAATATTATCTTGATCTTGATGATACATAACCTCTTCGCTCGAGTTTACATCGAAGGTTAGACCTAAGGCTATTGCTTGTTCAGGAGTTAAATGAATAGTTTCGGAATCATTGTCGTCATTTTGTAAAAATGCAACGAATTCACCGTCGTGATCATCATCGTCAACAACTTGTTGAAACGCTTGTTGAAGAAGATCGGAAGCACCAGTAGAGGATGCATCGTTTGTAAACACTGTGGAATTTGAAATTTCTGCCATATCGCTGCCTTTTCTAGTTTAACGGTTTATGAAATGTGATTATAGAATAATAACGATCACTTTCATATTTTACGATAGAATTTTACACAATTACGTTCTTGTAAAATCACTTTACAATATTGCCTTTATTCCATTTCGCTTTACACGTTTTTCGCGCAAACAGAAACACAAGAGTGATGTGAAGTTTGCTGCAAATACGAAAAAGAAAATGGCGACAATGTCATTGGAATGTTTGTGGTGTGGTTGGTAGTTCTCATTATGTCTATTTTCATCGTATCCTTCATTCAATATCACAATTGGACATTATGTACTTGTGCAGTGATTACATGACAAAACTTCATATTTAAATAATTTCATTCGTTTAAAAATGTTTTTATACCAAAATCAAATTTATTATAGATTTAAAAAATAAAAAATGTTTAATGGAAAAAAAATCAATGAATGTTATTTCTTCATGACGTGTAATTTTCATTTACAAACTGTGTTTGGAAGGCTTGAATCATAGAGAGTGAATTACATATGTATTTATTTTTGTGTCAATTTAGTCGTATTTTAGAATAATCGTCATTCACATTGATACTGTGCAAATAACTGTTATGCATCATTTATAACGATTCCACGTAATGAAAAACAAATCAATGTTTCATTTACATTAATATTTAATCGCAATTAGCGAATTTATTCTATAATGTGCATTGTATTTTAATATTGTGAAAGTTCATGGATACAAAGTCTACTTCTTAATAAAGACACTTTAAATAAATAAAGCATCGTAAATAATATAAATATGGTAAGAACACTGATGAATCAAATAACTATTGTAATACTAATTGATCTTGTCATATATTATTAAACTATTTCGAACTATGTAATATAATACGTTTTGTGATTTACTAATAATTAAAATGAATTTATTTAATCTAAGTTGTTTCATGACACTATTTTGTTTGTATTATTGCTGTTTTATTTAAATATAAGAAATGTCCAATTAATAATTAGCTATATTTTGAAAATTGTGTTACCAAGATTTTATTATTGCAGGATGAAGATGATGATCAATATCAAGGAGTTTGCGATGTAGGTTCATTTCCTCAAGATTTTGGGTACGCATTATTTGATGGAGAAACAGAAGAATCCATAGATCCTTTATCAGGAGAACAAAAACCAAGAATACTTTTAATGGGTCTGAGGAGGTATCAAGAGTTCTTTGAATGTCCTAAATATTTTTTTGATCGACTACATTATTAGTTCTATAATATCAATGTTTGTTTTAGGAGTGGAAAATCATCAATACAAAAAGTAGTTTTTCATAAAATGTCTCCAAATGAAACATTATTCTTGGAAAGCACAAATAAGATTATTAAGGACGATATAAGTAATTCTAGTTTTGTTCAATTTCAAATCTGGGATTTTCCAGGACAAATTGACTTCTTTGATCCTACTTTTGACAGTGATATGATATTTGGTGGTTGTGGAGCATTAGTTTTTGTTATCGATGCTCAGGATGATTATATGGAAGCACTTAATAAATTACACTTAACAGTTACAAAAGCATACAAGGTTAATCAAGCTATCAGATTTGAAGTTTTCATACATAAAGTAGATGGTTTAACTGATGATTGTAAAATGGAAACACAAAGAGATATACACACGAGAGCAAATGATGATCTTGCAGATTCTGGTACAAAAATTATTAGCTATACATAG